TTTCTAAAGAGTTAGAATTAATTGACAAATCGAATTTGATTAGATATCAATTAAAGGAATATATTAAATTAATCAATTAGATTGATTAATTGAATTTTGGATATTAATTTAGTAATTAATAGAATTACTAATTAATAGTTGGAATTTAAAATTGGATTTTAAATTTCAAATCCAAATAATAATAAAATTATTAAATAAGGAAATGGAAGAATAGATTAAAAAAATGAAGTCTTGAAAAATGTTTTCAAGAATTATTATTTTAGTATTTATCTTTAATATGATTGAAGATTAAATAATAATAAGAATAAATTAATTATGGTGGTTAGAAGTTGTTAACTAATCCACATAATTAATCTTATTTTTATTAATACAATAATAATGATTGATGGTGGTTATAAACCAATCACATTATTAATTAAAAGTCAATATTTGGTATGATTATTTAAATAAAATCTGATTTTATTTAAAATAAAATATATCAAATTTTGATTATTTTATGCTAAAATGTTTAGTATAAATAGGTGCAAAATATTTGCACATTAATAGCTAAGTTTTTGAGCTAAATTCTTCCAAGAGAAAAATTCATTCAAATAGTTGAGTGATAATACAAGAAAGTGTTCTTGAAAAATTTCCTTATAAATATATATTCCATACTTATTGAATAAAACCGAGTAGTTTCTACTAGCGAAGGAACTATTGTCGGAACCGGACTTCAAAAGGTGGATACGATTATAGGGCAGACATTTGGATTTCTAAAGTGAGTAACCACAAGAAGTGATCGTTACCAAACCAGGAATTGATTTCCTCATACATCGTCGGTTTTGAAGGAGTTCAAGAACAAAGGTAATTTTTATAAATTACATATCAAATCAAAATTAGTAAAAGTTACTAGATTTTAAATGATGCTTATTCGTTATCTCGTTATACTTATGTACGGAATAAGTATTTATAAGATAAATACTTATAAAATTTTAAATTCCACTATAAACTCTGTTCCGTACAGTATATCGAACCCAACAGTGGTATCAGAGCCACGTTACAATTTGCATCTTTAAAATCAGATTTTGATTTGAAAATTTGCTAAAAACACGAACTGGAATAAAAATCGAATAGAGTATTCGAAAACACAAGTCGTGAAGGATGACACGACTCGTGTAACCGGTCGTGTGAGGTCATATGACCCGTGTGAGAAAGTCACACGAGTCGTGTGACTGGTCGTGTCACGTCACACGAGTCGTGTGAGGTGTGATACGAGTCGTGTGACATAAAATTTTCTGAAATTTTTCATAGTCACTTTTGTATTTTTCACACGTGTCGTGTGAGTGAGCCACACGAGTCGTGTGACATGTCACACGAGTCGTGTGACTTGTAACACGAGTCGTGTGACTGATTTTTGTTTTGACTTAATATGAGTCATTACTACATCAACATATTAAATTAGTGAATTTAT